TGACTCAGTGACGGCCTATAGGTCTAGTTGTTTATAGTCTACCCCACTTGAGGTAGAGACCTCGCTCAATATGGAAGCAGGTACTTTATTTAAAGTATTATCATATTATGGCGAGTGACCTTTCGAGACATGCGTGAAGTTTTTCAGCGCAAACTCGACGAAGGGGAGCAATTCATTCCATTCTTTGAACGACGTAGCGCAACTACGCAGCACGACCCCCAGGGCTCGATTCACAAGCTCTGTTTGACCGTCCGTTTTGAGGTGTAGCGCTGTTGACATGGACAATTTGGTGCCCAATAATTCAAACACTGCATTCCAAAACTTCAAAGGTAATGGATGACACGGTCCAACGCCATCTCAACAGTAAGGCCACAGAGTTGGAAAACAACGTCTACAAAGACCTCAAGTGATTTCTCGGCAAAGATAAGATCCGCAACAGGCGCAAAAATGAATCGTCTTGCTGGATAGGTCCTCTGACACAAGAAAGTCATTGCTTCCATGTGTGTCGCACAAAATTCTGAATATGAACTCCATACTCACAGATTTCCAACTGTCGGTTGGCAGTACTAACGACTTAAGTGGGGTCTGAGTTGAACCTGATGGTTTCACTCTCTGGCAAATCTCGCAGGTTCGCACTTTTTTGCGCACCCAGTAATACTTATGTAGCAAATAGTAATATAAAGGAAAATTGAGAAACGCCGAATGACCACCTATAGGGCTGTAATGGTACTTATATAAGAGATGATGACGCAATTTCAGGAACAACAACTCTTGCTGTATCCCCGTGTTCATCTGCATAATACAACACTCCATTTTGTACTCTAAAACATTGAGCGCGCGATATTGTGTGAGATAAAGGGCCTTCCAGTGCTTTTGTCGAATCGTTCAAGAAGTACCTAGACAAGTGTGGCATGTATCATCAGACTTGTACCCTTCGACAGGTTTTCGTGCACGGTACTCGTAGCTTGCATGCTAGTTATCTGAACATCTTTGGGTTAAATATATTTTCGCTCCTGGACCTCGGATCATAGTCGGACATCCTGATAACGCATCAGCCAGAATGTTTATCTTGCCTGACTTGTAGTGTACAGCAAAGATGCGCTCAGCAAAGAAAAGAGCATGAAGCCATTCTCTAAAATAAATGAGGAGGCTTTAATGCTGTACGATTCGAGGCCTGATCCGTCTCTTTTCTTCTCTTCCAAGATCGCAAAGGGCTTCGCTCCAAGCCGTTTCACATGAACTTGACCAAGAATACTCCATCGCTGAAATCTTTTCTTAGTGAATTGAATAGTTTTGTTACGCGAACCGGAGTTGTCGCGACTGATACGAAATAATCCGCTCTCCACCCTCATTATCATGTTGCATCAACGCACAACAAAATACCGCCTGATGATCTTTTGACCATCATCACTAAATATTTTTCATTTTAGAGGTCGTTAGAGATTGCACTAAATGCGCGTGCATTTGTGCAAGTTGTTGGCCGAGCCCAACCATTGTCGCAGCTATTTCACGTTGTTTGGAACAGGCCATTCATTGGAAGTTTGACTTTCTCCGGATCAACACGAATGCCATTCTTCCCACAAACAACCAATAACGAAAATTTCAGCTGCAAAAAAATGCACTTATCAGGTATGCGAATTTTCGTTCTCCTGCATAGATTGGAAGACTTGACAAGACCATCAGGATGAACATCGACATCAGATTATTGACCTGTTATCTTACTATGAAGAATATATCGTGAAAGTTTCTCGGTGCACGGTCTTAACGGACGAAAAAGCTTCGTGGTCAGTCTGCTGAATGATACGGGAACCCTTTATTAAGCTTGTGGCGTCACCAACATTCCCCACAGCATACCACCGGGGTTACTGCCTGCAATTTGTGGTGAATTAATTTTGCGCATTCAGACCTGGTACATTCCATCGTTCACTTTATTGAAAGCGTGTATAATACGCCAACGACCTGTGACTTCCTTCGCTCAAAAGATTGAAGTACCGTGCGGAGAGTTACTCTCGTGCAAATGACCAGTTAAATATCGCTGCGCAAGGAACTCGACGATGACAATGACTTCATCTTTTGACAACGACCACTGCCAAGTGATAAAATACTTCGTACCGGAAAGTATGTCAAGCTCATGACGAATGCCTTAGTCTGATGGCAATTTTTTCGGCACCTTGTCTCAGAATATTACAGCATATTCCTTGACAAGTCCATGCACGTGTTTGTCCTCAGAGCGTACCACGGCTGCTCGCCAAGTCTTTCTTTATGTGTCTTCCTAACAAATACTTCTGCAGTATTGATGACGTTGTCAATAGCTTTTTCGATGATCCCACATATTTGCAAAATACAGCTACGCTTTAGAATTTTCTTGCTCGTCAACGGTAAGGAGAACAATTTTTTGACTAAACTTGTAGAAGATAAATTCTTTACGTGACAGATAATATGGACGTCACCTTCTTCGTTGTAGGCCACGACTCGCTCGAATTGTCTTGTTCTTGAGCACTTCCTTTGGTCAATACAGCTTGTACCTTGAACAGGCACGTAAACTACTTGACGAAAACCTCTTTTGGGTGGCTTTTTTTCTCTCCGTATGGAACAGCTTTTCGTTGACTCTAATCCCACTATTGTTCATACTACCACGCCCATGGCTTCTATGTCGATGGGTCTTTTTCTGGCGCCTGACTGCTCCACTTCCAGATAGCGTTGTTAGTTTTGTTTTCTTTGTCTTGTTCAACAACGGGGCAATCGCACACCACCATGTCTATAGGAATATCTGTGACTACTTCAATTGATGCATGTTTTCATACCATTTCGTCCATCTTCATACAGCTCGAATTAGGACCGCACGACTTGTTGACGACGACCTTCATATTCATCCAGTTAATGATAGGCTGATAACGCTTCAACCACGGCTAACATAGGATGATCTCAAACATATCATCGAGGTCGCTAAGCAAAACATCAACTTTTCACATTGGGCAGGTTAGCATCATGCCAGCCGTAATTTTCGCACTAACAAACTTTCTTGACGCTCCAGTGAAAATTATAGCTCGCAGTGGCTTCTCAAATCCATCTACAGATTCTTTTTGAACAATTAAAGTCACACTTTGCCTGACATTACTACCACTCATAGCGTTATCTACATGTGCATGCGCTTTAGCGCCAGAGTTCTTTGAATCTTCAACATCCAAGGTACTTCTCTCGGACCCAGTAGGAAGCCCTACCCCTACTAGCCGTTCCCGCTGTTTGACCCTTGGAAGCTTTTGAACCGATGACCGTTACAGCGTCCGCGGTTTTCCGAACGAGCACCCTGTGTCAGTTGCCGACTCGGCAAAGACACTCTTCAGTTCCGAGCATTATGACCCGGCTTCCTACAACGGAAACATTTCCGTCGTTGCAATAACGCTAATTTCCAGGCGTGAAAATGTACAAAATGTTCATTGCCTCCGAGCCATTATTAATATTAGTAGACTGAAGCGCTTAACTTTGTACGAAATCATTAGACTTGGTTTACTTGATGCTGACCTTTCCTCGCATCGCACAGTGGATGGCATCGTCAGCGTTTTGAGGTATTTAGGGAACAGGTCAGACCATCATTCAAACCCGCCAAGAACGCTAAATGTTGGGTTAAAACATCAATTGGCTCGTCGATAATGCTTGATATCATGTAGCGAGCACGCAGTACATACGCGTGTAGGCGGTACGACTTTGACGAAGCTTCCATAACTCGGCATGTAAATGGAATTCACTATTTTGTGGTTCAGCCGCCTTAATTGTATTGATCTTGAAGCGTTGTAGCTGGAAGAGCACTTGAGATCGACTAAAGACTTACCATACGTCACCGGCAAGGTTGGTCATCACAAACAATACTTACCTCAAATAATTTCGCAAATGTCTTGCAGTGATTGCTGCATCCAGCTCGGCAAGCCTTCGTGATAGAAACTCATTTTCTCCACCACATACAAAGACACGTTTTGCTTCAGAGGCATTGTTCTGGAAGAAAGTCGGGGTCGCGACTCGCTTTCAAGATTCTATAATCTCACGGTGCTTAAACTGACGGCCGCGTTCTTCTAATAATTTGCATAAGCCTACTGCATCAAAGTGACTACGGCGGCTTCTCCGATGACTTCTCGCATCCGCTCAAGTGTCATCCACTCATGTGAAGACAAACGAAAAAGCATTTCAGTTTGTGGTACTGATGGACCAAGAGGTACCCTACACAGGATTGCGCGACGTGCTTATCAACCGCCAAACAAAATTTGGGTGTCGCTGGAAAGACCGCTCAAATTGCTACTAGATGGAAGAGGGCGCTATTCTCGACAGCCCATAAAATACAACAGTAACGAGGAAGCGATTCTTGACGTGGAGAAAGACAGTCTCGACTTAGAGGGAAGAAGGAACGACTTGAGTCCTTAGGAGAAAATTTGCACTGAATTACAATAAGGAGGTGGTTCCAAGCTACATGCAAAACATCGCAATGGCTCCTGTAGAAGTTTGACTAATAAAACATTGAGTTGCTGGTTTATAAAACAAGGTCGTAATGAGGCTAGACCTCGACTTACAAATGATCTTGGGAGATAATAAACTTTAAACTTTAAAAGCTTGGACTTCTTATTTCGTTGAGAATACCCAGTAGAAAAGACTGACTCACGCCACCCACTTCAAAAAAGACACGTCCGTCTCGTCATCAGTACAGACCCCTAACAGAGGCCAGCATTCTCTATCTCACAGCATGTTTATGACTTCATATGAGATGTCACGTGTACATCTGGGAACACTACGGTTATTTTCCTTTTATAAATTCCAGCAACGCATACAGAAGGTACACAGATGTGCTTTCATGTAATGGCTAATGAACCCCATTACACTAGGTGTCAGCTATAGCGCAAATGGCACCCAACAACCCCACAATGGCCGCAAATGCTGAGTAGCGAGTCATGAAAGGGCTAAAAAAGAGAGCGTCCTGAAGAAGAAATTGAAATTACCATGAATTGGTACCCCAGATGAAGCAAAAACTTACAATTTCCGCACTAGGTACCGTGCGCAAAAATGTACATTTTTTGCATTACCACTTCAGAAGAGGCGATCCAAACATGAGTTGATTCGGCGCGACATAAGCCGCAAGCGTTCGCATATTTCAATCACATCTGAGCGGTGTAACCTGCGGGACCAGAAAGCTCATCAATCCAGTACGAAATCTTACGATTCATCAGGGTGGCTAGAATTAGCATACCACGTCCAGATGCCGACCCTAACTTGAAGGCGGTAACAATTACCGTCTTAGGTGCAGCTATCTTTTATACTTTCCACGTTCGCACAATCTTTTAATGAAGCGGTGGGGTTGGAGTACTAATGAAGTGGTGGGGTTGGAGTACTATTAAATGTGGAGCACAACTACCGTTCCGCTGGGGCCGATAGAGGTACCAGAAGTGAATGATCTATAAGCGCGCCAGAGTTGGTGGACCTAGTGTAGCATTGAAGAGGCATGACTTAACCTCTGTTAATAGACAAAGACGTGTTTGTATCGGGCGCTAAGCTGCTGAAAAGAAATGTCTTACTTCAGCTGTACGCTGGTTATCTGTTTCGAAACTGTTGGAAGGCTAAGTGCGACATCGTTTTGCAATCTCATTTCCCGAAGCTGATAGCGCAAGAGCGACTGCGTGTCGCGATCTCCTGTGACAAGGCCAGTGGAGACTGGTGACTGTAAGTCGCAAGTAAGAAACTAATAACGTAAGCGTATAGCAAAATAGGCTCTATAAGATACAAAAGTTAACTTGTTTTTTGACACGATTAAACGGTTGTGCTCAGTCAGCACTGCCATTTGACGCGGGCAGTCAAGCTCGCCGAAGTTTTGCATACTAAATTTTCGATAGTGAAAGAGGCAACCGGGTAGCCTCGGGGATGTAAGATGCCCTAGTCGAAAAATCTGATTTGCTTGATGTGTTATCCTTGGAGGAAGTTTGAAAGAACTGCAAGATGATCAAGTTGTTGGCATATTACTGGTAATCTCGAAGGAGGAGTTGAGGCTCACCATCCTTCGTGGATAACTTTGGCGTGAAGGACAACTGCAGATCATTGAGTGCGAAAAGTGCAATATCTTATACAACGACGTTGTCCTTACTCGAAGAGGTTTCAAAACGGGATGAAAAGCAATCCACCAGGCGTGTCGGATCCGGATCCAATGTTGCGTCATAAATCGGTTACGTTTATGGAACCCGATACTATGTGGTTCTCACGAAGGAAACAATAGCATGCCAACGTCGCTATTTGTTTGTGCACAGCACGAAGCGCGTCTCCGTACTCGGCGCAATTTGTTTTCTATGTAGATACTAAGTGGCGAATTGCGCGTGCCTATAATAAGGCAAATGCAGCCACTATTCCAGCGCAAACGGCAACTAAAAAAAGTACGGTTGGTTATGCCTTGGTTTGCGATCTTGGCAAGTCAATGTATATCAACTGTTAATGAAAGTCAGCGATATCTTCTGAATGCGGTGCGTAATCCAAACAAAGTGTCTGCTTGTGCCACAGGACGTATATTGACCACCGAGCCATTCAATCGTCTGGTGATACAGCTGTTTTAGCCGTATCTTGCCTATGGATCAACCCAATTGATTATATGGTCATAGCATACACAAGTCAACTGAGATAGGAAACCACATTTGAAAGATGTACCTGTATACACCACAATAAGCTGTTGTCCGATAGACACAATTTCAGCCTGGGCCCGGATGAGACCCCCTTTCCGCGTTGCTGCATTGGAAAGCATTGTCTGCAAACAGATCCCAGGCTATTGTTGATTTACTAGTGCCCTTTCTTCGAACTATATCAAGGAAGTGATAGCCTGGTTAATTAGCTGCACATCTTGAGTGAAAATTATGCCGTCATAGCACGGCTATTTCGCAGTTTTCTTCAATATGACTTTTATTCTTTCGTTATTAGGTGGCCTTCAGGGCCGTAAGCAAAATTCTTACACGTGCTCCCGATCATGGCATTTTCGCTTAGGTTGTAAACTTATTTTATGCAGATACCAGTTATCCACCTCCTTTGCGTATGATAAGCTCAAATTAAATGAGGCGAAGCTCCCTGATCAAGATATAAATCTACGTGAAATGATATACTTACGTCTCTAATTCAGGGTGCGTCTGAATGGATCGGGGCCGTGTGTGATCTATACAGATTATGCGTCGTTCCACACAGCGACGTCGTCACTACCTCCCTCATCGACAAATAGACGATGGTTATCTTTTGCTGGAAGGTTACATTTGAGGAAATATATAACCCGGATCGACTTAATGTGGTGGCGGATACGCTTCTGCATTGCACCAACAACGAATTGAAGCATATCACAATAATTACGTCGCCAATTGATCAGGCGATGTAATGTTATGTGATGCACTTAATCATTGCACAATGTTACATCTATTACCTTATGCGTGCAATGTAGACATTTATTACAAAAGAATTACAGTATGGTGTCTCCACATGCATAATTGACATCTTCTACTAAGTCTTGAGCACTCTGTGTGATACAGAATGCTGGTTTCTACTTGAATTTCTGTACTGTGGACGAGTCTCTGTCTTCTGAAGTGGGTGACGCAAGCCAGTCTCCTCTGTCAAGAGCTTTCCAAGAAGATTCGACTTCATGGTTTTCAAAGCTCAAGCTCTGTACATCAAAGATCTTGAATATATTTAAGCTGAGATTCAGCCTTGATACACCCTTGATTGTATTTATCTGATTAGAAAGAATCTAAGGTTTATAAGTAAAACCTCTAGGAGCCTTTGGTGTAATTTGCATGAGTCTCTAAGAACTATTAACTCATCTATAATTCACTTGCAAATTTTCGTTTGAGCCCTTAAGTCGTTCTGCAACTTCAGTGGGGCTGCCGTAGCTTAGTGCTTGAGGAAGCGTACTTTAATTCAGTGACCTTTCGTTCTGTACAAGAACCAAGTATGAGTTAGCGGATCGCTATCCGCTTCCTTCAGGAGTAATTATTGCCTTCCCAAAGCTGATTGACTCTTCGGTTCAATCTCCAAAACTAATTTTTATTTATTTATTTATCCTAATTTTAACAGTTTATATTTTTCCAAATATGCTAAATATAAATATAGTAAAATCTAAATACATGCATAACTACTGGCTACCTAGCTCTGTACCGTTTTCTTACTTGGGTGTGGTTACACCATGCACATCTCGTGTGACACACACACCTGTTACTAGGGTACGTGTAACCCCCGAGTTGCTGGCATCATTGAATGAACTATATGCACTAATCGAGCAGTACGACTCAGAAAATGTGTATAATATGGATGAAACGGGTTTGTTTTATCGAGTGCTGCCAAGGTACACTCTCCTCATGCCGTCTGAAGATATCTCCACGGCGCGAGGTAAAAAGAAAAGCGAAAGACAGGGTCTCGCTGGTTGTTTGTGCCAATTCTACTGGGACACACAAGA